TGGCCAGGGACACGTGGATGACGGCCAGCTCGTGCGCCGGCCGCCGCAGCGCCTCGGCGTAGGCCAGCTGCGCCGCGCGGGGCGTCAGCGGGGACGCCGCGGCCCCGTGGCCCCTCATGCCCGTGTCCCCATGTCCCCTCATGCCCGTGTCCCCGTGTCACCATGCCCATGTCCCCATGCCCCCATATCCCGCATCCCCATGTCCCTGTGTCCCCTCATCACTGTGCATCCTTGTCTCTGCGTCCCCGTGCCCTGCATCCCCATGTCCCTGTGTCCCCTCATCCCTGTGCCTCCTTGTCTCTGTATCCCGGTGTCCCCTCATCCCCGTGCCTCCTCATCCCCGTGTCCCCGTGCCCTGCATCCCAACATCCCCGTGTCCCTTCATCCCTGTGCCTCCTCGTCTCCATGTCCCCATGCCCTGCATTCCCAACGTTCCCGTGTCCCTTCATCCCTGTGCCTCCTTTTCTCCATGTCCCCATGTCCCCATGTCCATTCATCCCCATGTCCCCATGCCCTGCATCCCCATGTCCCCTCATGCCCTTGTCCCCGTGTCACCATGCCCCACATCCCCACGTCCCCGTGTCCCCTCATCCCTGTGTGTCTTTGTCTCCGTGTCCCCGTGCCCTGCATCTCCACGTCCCCGTGTCCCTATGTCCCCTCATCGCTGAGCCCCCTCGTGTCCACGTCCCCATGCCCTGCATCCCCATGTCCCCGTGTCCCCTCATGCCCGTGTCCCCATGTCCCCGTGCCCCGCATCCCCACATCCCCGTGTCCCTTCATCCCTGTGCCTCCTTGTCTCCATGTCCCCATGCCCTGCATCCCCATGTCCCCATGTCCCAGTGTCCCTTCATCGCTGAGCCCCCTTGTCCCCATGTCCCCATGCCCTGCACCCCCACGTCCCCATGTCCCTTCATCCCCGTGTACCTATGCCCTGGGGGACACGTCCCCCATGTCCCCTCATCACCACGCCCCCTCATCCCCATGTCCTTGTGCTCTGCACCCCCATGTCCCCATATCACTGCGTCCCCTTGTCCCCGTGTCCCCATGCCCTGCATGCCCATGTCCCCGTGTCCCCTCGTTGCCATGCTCCCTCATTCCCACATCCCCAGGCCCCTCATCCCCATGCCCTGCATCACCATGTCCCCGTGTCCTTGTGTCCCCTCATCCCTGTGTCCCCACATCCTCGTATCCCATATCTCTGTGCCCCCATGTCCCCATGCCCCCTCGTCCCCGTGCCCCACATCTCTGTGTCCCTGTGCCCTATCACCCCTCATCCTCATGCCCTCCATCTCCATGCTCGTGTCCCCATGTCCCACATCTCCATAACCCCGTGTCCCTTCACCCCCAAGTCCCTGTGCACCACATCTCCATGTCCCCGTGTCCCTGCGTCCCCATGTCCCTTCATCCCTGTGCCCCACATCTCCATGTCCCCGTGCCCCTTGTCCCCACGTCCCCATGTCCCCGTGCCCCACATCTCCACATCCCCATGTCCCTGCGCCTCCAAGTCCCCGTGCACCACATCTCCATGTCCCCGTGCCCCTTGTCCCCACATCCCCATGTCCCTATGCCCCACATCCCCATGTCCCCATACCCCTCATTCCCATGTCCCCATGCCCC